CCCTCTCCCCGCCAGGCGAGGGTCTGGCCACACGCTGCGGAGTCCGGGGGAAACCAGATGGAGAAAGTCAGTGCCAGTGGGAGAGGGCAGGGCGCCAGGAAGCGCCAAGGCTTTCCAGTGCCTCAGGCAGCACTTCTCAGGGCCAGAAGGTTTCCTCTCTCCTCTAGGGGACTGTTATGATTTGAACGATTGTTTCACTCTTCTGTGTTGTTAAGGAAGAAAGAAGGTAAGAACCCCAGCCCCTGGTGAACTATTAACTTCAAGTAACCCAGAAGAGAACGTAAAGGCCACTAGTGGGCTATGACCGCCCGGCCCCAAGCACCTAACAGTCACTCCCTCCCTCTCAGAAGCGCCTATAAAAACATTTGTTTAGAAGAAAACGTAAGCCCACGAGCCGCGCAAGTACTGACAACCGCAGGAGCGGCGTGGGCTGGAGGCGGGACCACCGTTTGGTGGCCACAGCGCAGATCTGCTGGAGAGCTGTGGAGACAGGCACATGGCCATGGGAAAGTACTCGGCACTCTCTAGCCAGAAGGCCAGAAAAAAAGGGATACATTTGATGTGACATATATTTTAAATAGATTTTAAAAATCTATGACGTTACCAGAGTAGAATATGCTCAAGACCACTCGAGCTCTTAATCACAGTGGGAAAAAGAAGCTAAGAAAGGAGCCGAGACAGCGGTACAGAGGCCTGGACAGCTGGGCATCACGGACACAGAAGAAATCACATTCCTCTTAGAAGGCAGAACTTTCTAGACTGTGACCGATGTGTCATGGACAGGGGATGTCCCGGGTGCTGGTTGCAGCACCTCCCACAGAGAAGTTACCATTTACCAAGACCAAGAACAAATGTTAACAGTTTGGTTCCATAAAATCTGAGAAGCAAAATGAAGCCTATAACATACGCCATTAGCTCAAAATAAGTAAGGTTTTGCCCCCATACTTTTATAATGCAGCCTAAAATGCTGACAGTGGGAGCACATATATTTGATACTTTGGTTCAAAGGTTCACAAATAATCAAAACCATTTTATAGAGAATCAGCTGTCAATCTAGTGATCTTCTAAATGTGTCAAACGTGATGTGAACTGCCCCACACTTGGGGCAGCTGGGCTCTGAATGCCACTTATGTCGCCCTGGCTCCATGCAAGGCCTCGGCCGAAACACCTGAGCACACAGGACAGTGACAGCAGGCACCTTGAACTCTCGCTGTCACTCTCACTTCTTCTGTCACTCTTCCACTCCTCTTCTTCTTCGGAAGAACAAGAGCCTTCACTCTGATCACAGGAGGTCTCCTAGTAGGAGGGGGAAAATAGGTAAGAACCCTGAGCTGGTAGGTTAAATAACACAAGAAAATCCAGGACTCATGAACACGATCACAGGGATATCGAATCAGATAAACTTCAAACAAAAATGTCCTAAAAATGACCTTTGGCATTTCACCCAGCTACACTGCAAACTTAGGCCACAAAAAAGCCTGCACAAGGCTGTTTACAGCAGCTTTATCCCGAACTGCCGAAATGTGGACGAAACCAACCTGGCACTCAAGTACGTGAACAGATGAAGTGGTAAATCCAGACGGTGAAATATTTTTTGGCGTGACAAAGGGATGTGCTATCAAGTCGTGAAAAGACAGAGGAGACGACGGCAGTGCCCGGAAGGCGCCGTCTCAGCCGCCTGCGGCACCTGCCGGACACGGGCTGCAAAGGTCAGCAGCACAGAGCTATGGAAGATCAGCAGAGACGTGACCTCACACACTTGTCCAGACACACAGAGCTGTGCGACATGGGTGGTCCGGGCGCGGGCTGTGGAGACGCAGCAGGAATGTCTGCTCCTCAGCCGCAGAGAGGCAACACTAGTCCAACAGGCCGCACGACGGGGCAGCTGCACGGGCCCTTGCTGTACTTACTGTGCAGCTTTTCTGTGAACTGAAAAGTGACGTCTCGATTTCTTTTCAGAGACCAGAAACAAGGAACCTGTGGCCCTGACAGCACAGAAAGCAGGTCGTGGAGACCAGGAAGGAGCTTTGCGGCTGCGGTCATGTCATCACGTGCGTAGACAAATCGGGGTCTGCACACCCCTGAGCCAGAGCTCCGGGGCCAGCTCTCAAGCGTCATCTACTGTGGTTACATCAGAAGCTTTCGCCCTAACTCACCACCCAAGACCTTGTATTTCATGTGTAGCTTTGAATTCTTCTTCTTAAAAAGGTTCCTAAAGTAGGGAAGCATTATACCCTCACGGAATTTGCATGCGCCTGCCTAGTCCAGCAAGTAGTCAGTCCAGCATACCCAACAAGCAGAACGCCGCGCCCAAACTAAACCCTATACAAGGACAGCAACATTCCTAACAGTCGGAAGGGGAGATGCTGCAGAGGCCCGCTAGCGGTGCGCACAGAAGGGAACTCTGCAGGAACGCCTGGGGCGCTGACGCCTGGCCCCGGGGTCCGCCCTGAAAGCACTGTGCTGTGGGAGAGCCGGCACAGTGGGCTGCATGGTCCCACTTATGTGAGATGTGCGGCCAGATGGTGCCTGGGCGGTTGCTGTGGGGGTAGGAGTGAGCACTGTGCGTGGCAGAGGGATTCTTTAGAGGCGATGAACACGTTTTTGACATCAACGGGGTTGGGATGGCACAATCCGTTAATATACTAAAACTGGACTGTTCGCTTGTAGGGTAAATATCGCAACAAAGCTGTCCACAATTGGGGTCAACAAAATCGAAACTGGCGATTTCTTCCACGAAACGCTGTATTTTCACCTAATTTCAAAGTGCAGAATAGAGAAAGCCTTGAAGCAGCGGACTCACGTGTCCTGCGGAGCTGGAAGACTCGTCCCCGGAAGAGGACTCGGGCCGTCCCGGGCTCCCACGACGGACACTGGGGCCTCGGCGCCGGCAGGTCCGCTGCCCGGACTGTGACCGCAGAGCCGCCGGGCCAGCCTGAGACAGCACACCAAGGAAAGGCTCGGTCAGTGTGGTCTTCAGCGAAACTGGCGTTCTACTAGGCTCCAAGAGGGTTCAAGGCAAAAAGTAATTCAAAAACAAAATACTCTTGGATGGATGTATCTTTGTTATTGTTAAATCAAACTTGGTATTTTTAACTCTGCAAACAACACTGAGAGCGGCTGTGACAGCTCACCAGAGGCAACCTGCATGTTCTCTGAGGAAGAAAGACCATCACAGGTTTCAAATCATCTCTGACATTTAACACGCACTCAAAAGGGCAGGCGAGAAAGAAGACATAAATGTAAGACTGATAATCACCAGGGATCAGATACAGATCAACAGATATGGGTTTTTTAAAATAACTTGCTATTTTCAAGAACTTAAAATTAACGAGAACTAGAGGAGAAAAACGGAAAAGTCTAAAAATGGAACCAAATGCAAATTTTGAACTGAAAAATACAGTGAACTAAAGTAAGAACACAACAGGTTTAAAAGCAGTTTAGAGCCAGCTGAGGAGAACTAGTGGCTGGAATGTAGGTCAGGAAACACGCGGGATGCAGAAAGCACTGCACGGAGCGCAGCCTGCGGCCATCAACTCATTCTAAGGCGCTGACCGAGAATAAACACATGAGCCCGAGAGTGTCCTGAGAGGCCAAGGACGGAACGGCCGAACGGCTACACGGCCGCAGCACAGGTGGACTCGGGGCGCCCATAAAGTTGTTGAGACAGAAATTAAAAGTGAAAATCTCAAAGCTCTTCACCCTAACTTATAACTGCTTCTTGAGTAACTGCTGAAAGTGACTTCATTATACAGGTTGTAATTATCAAATGGTATATCCAATTAGAAATTTATCAATACTTAGAGCAGTACAAGCAGATTTGTAAACGTCTGTAAGACATTTTTCCAGCGAAAATGAAAAATAGTCTTTAAATTTTTCTTAAATTTTACTTTAAAATGCATTTCACGAGGCAATATCCAACTATAACAGAAAACACTCAGACAGTCGACAGTGTTTTCTTTTCATACTTGCCATGGTGTTAGCTGAATCGCCTTTAAGAGCCAACACTGTTTGTGCTGAATTCTCAGCGCCTGAGCCCCGCCCAGGGCAGCAGCCAGCAACGCTGCCCCACACCACCAGGCCGCCGGACTGGCCGGCGGGGGCTTGCTCCCAGGGGGCTGCACACGGCCAGCTTGGTCTTCTCCACATACAGTTTCGTGACGCTCCGGAAAATCCAGAGAGAGGGGAGCCACCAGGGGCAGGGAGCTGCTGGAGGATGCCCAGCCAGGGCGCGTCCCCGGTCGCACCAAGTGGCGGCTCGTCCAGCCAGAGTACAGAGGCCCCGGGGGAAGCAGAGCACGAGGTGCTACTGCTGAGTGTGAGGTGTCCGGCTCCAGACCTGAGTGGCCCCGGCAGGCACTTCCCAGGACCCTGTAGTGCCATTTGAAGATACAACTCAAGCTTTCGCGCTACTCTTTCCCGCCAACCACACAGACCCAATGTCTACTGTTTAAAATTCCAAGACTTTAAGGAAGAAATATTCTACTTTCAATAAAAGTGACTAATGTTCCCTATGATGAAAAATGAAGCTAAATGTCCATTTAATTTCTAATGCAGCTATTGCCAACAAAAGAGAATCTAGTACCTTTTGTGAGACCTGGAGATTCTTCCTTTTTCTTCCAATGATGTAGAGATTTCTTTCTTCGTCACCTTTCTCTATTCTGAAGTCTTCCAACTTCCTACAAATTTAAGTGCATTCAGTGGTATTAGTTACTGACTGAGGGCTTAGGACATAAAGAAAAAAATGAATGACGGAAGCATTCTTCTATGTATCAGAAGCTTACATATATTAATGCAGAAAATTCCTAAAGCCAGAACACAAGCTGAGTGGAGCCATGTTTCGTCAAGAGGCAAAAGGAGACCCTCTTAGTGCAGAACAAACTCAAGCGAGACCTCTCTCCTCTCTCGTGAGCTGTTTGAAGGGTCCGTATGATTTTCCAAGATGGTAATTTCTTTCTCTAGAAGAAAACTAAGACCAGAATCTTCTTCCTAACTCTCTAATGTCATGTTTTGTAAGCTGTACCACAACAGAAGAGTGATGGTTCTACTTCTAATCACCGATCTGTCACTCTCAAGTATCACCAACCAAAAAAATAATAATAAAATAAGTTTTTAGGGAGAGAGTAGACCTATGCTTTCTGAGAGAAGTATGCCATTTATGAAAATGTCCTGCAAATACATCAAAAATATTCTGACATCTGAGCCAACTGGAAATGCAGGCACAAGCTGGATGTTGCATCTATTGAGGATCTGGGCGGGGAGACCACTGAAGAACTGGGTATGTGTAGGGCAGAGTGGGGAGGTGGGTGTGAGAAGAGTCCCTAGAAATAGTGGATCTGCTGAAATCCACTGCTGAGGGAAGCAGCAGGAGAAAAGAGGTCTGCTGCGCCCCGTGTCTCTCCCCGGCCGGGGATCGGACTCGGCCCTCACAGTGCTAGCATGAGACTCATACTAGAGGCCATGAGGGAGGCCCCTGAGGATACTGATTAAAGTTGTAATGGCAGTGGTTGTATTTTTAAGACAACTCCTTAACAGAGGCTCACAAATTTACAGACAATGTGATACTGTGTCTGAGAGAGAACACTGGGTATCTGTGGAGACTGAACAAGAATGGCCGTGCAAAACGCTGCCATTGTGAAACGAAACTCTGAGGCCGTCCTACCACTTCGCGACCTATTATAAACCTATGTATGTGATGATCACACTGAAGGACTAGGACGTGTGAATAACCATACAGACATGGTTTCAGACACAAGCATTATCAAGAGAGCCCTGAAACAAACCTAAATATGGCGCGTGGCACCTCCGGCACGACCACTCTCCGCCGCCAGGCCTGCAGGTCCCGCTCCGTGGCCATCTGGCTACGGGGCGCGTTCTGGTGCATCTGCCGCACGCCCTCCACCTGCCCGCTGCGCCGCAGGCCGATGTTGGGAGGGGACTGCATGTCCAGGCTTAGTCTTCTAAAACCTCGGAGGAAATGGGCAAGAAATCACTCTAAAACCACCTTCACACTGGCACCCACTGAACACAACAGAACGTACATTACTCGGTAGTAAGACATGCCAAAGTAAAGATCCACTGAGAAAAAGTGGGAAAAAGCCGTGCTCCGTGCCTGCGACTAACATGCCGGCGACGGGGGGCACCTCCCTCACTAGGGACCTGAGTCACCGCCTCTCCAGGCTCTGAAACTGTTCCACGTGCAGCCATTTCTACTCCCATGGTGCCTGACACACTCAGAAATGTCGTCGTCTTCGTGGTAGCAGACTAGAAAAACCTTTTTGGAAAAACTAAGGTGGGAGAGACACTCCCTGAACCACAGCTGAGCAACAAGTAACCACATGAACTGTGAAGAGATGTCTGAGCCACCCGGGCAGACAGTGCCCGACAAGCGACGCAGCCAGCGCGGCCAGCTCCAGGCGTCGCAGCCAAGCGCTTGCACTTCAGGAACACAGGGGCAGGGCCACTGCTGCTAACGCGACAGAGAACCAGCCCAAGTCCTATTCGGGCTGAGCCAGCCCCGCGAGCCAGGCGCTGGGGCGCCCGCAGCACCCCCGCAGAGCGTGCACACCCACATGAGGGGTACGCAGGGGATCACCACACCGCACTAACTAGAAGGACGATCAGTGCGAATACGCTAAGGTTTTAACAACCATTATACTGATGCTTGAGAAGCGCTAATTAAGCACTGGAAATAAATTCTATATTTAACTGTCCAAGGTGTATCATTCTTCTGCATTGATTTGGAAAGAAAATACGCACTGGTTTTATTTGCTACTACGTGTAACAACAGCAAGGCTGAGAAATAGCTCACGTCCAAAAAGGGTGAACCCCAGAGATCGGTCACCCCGCACGGTGGAGTCCCCCCGGGCTTCCAAGAGCAGAGTGCGCGACGCAGGGGGTGAGGCCGCACCGCCTGGGGAAGCCAGGCCAGCGAGGGCTCCGCCCACCACCCCACCCGGCCCGGTGCCCGCTGAGCCTGACCCTGGGCAGCAGAGAAGCCGGCCGGCTGGAGCAGAGCGCTCCCCCGCGCACCACACGCTCGGGCCTGTCACTCACTCGTGGGAGGCGGTGTTGACGCCGCAGCACCGGCGCTCACTGGCCCTACAACTTTAAGAAGCCACGAAGGACACACGGGCCAGGAGTGCCCGGAGAGCCGCAGAGGCCAACACGTGCCGGCAGAGCTGGCAGAGCCCTGCCACCTGCCCACGTGCAGCTGGAAGCTCGAGGGCAAGGCGGCTTGACCTAACGCAGCACTTCGGGAGACACAGCGGAGACAGAGACGGACGGAGCAGGCGTACTCAGAGACAAAGCAAAGGGCGCAAGAGGAAGCCCCTTCCGGCCAGGCCCAGAGCCTGCACCTTGGCGCAGGACTAGCTTCCCAGGCCCGATGGGGGAGGAATCTCCCGTCCAGACAAGGGCCACAAGCCTTCACGCTCGCTTGCTGCAGCTACTCCAAGAGCGCGACTTCACCCAAGTCCTGGTGTTGAGCTCTATACTCTTTAGACCTCCGCCAACCCAAGGGAAGCAAGCAAGCAGAGTAAAAGAAACATACAGGATTTTTATTATTCACATTTAACAAGAAATGCTTCTCACAGACTATGTGGTTCAGATGAAAGTATCCCCAGGAATTTACTGTCTTTCTGGTCCAGTAGTTAACGTGAAAACCCTCCCTCCCTAAACCAGTGAACAATAGAAGTAGCAGTTGGACGTGGAAACATGGAGGTTTCAGAGGGGTGGGGATGAGCGGGAGGCAGGCAGAGGGTAGGTGTGGCGGGGCTGGGGCCTAGGAGAGCGAGGGAAGCCCAGACACGGGCGAGGTGTGGCACAGGCTGTGGTCCCCGGGTGATAGGGCTCTGTAAAATAATAGTAAATCTGTAAATTTTGATATAAAAAACTCTCCTTCTGTGGACACCTAGAAATGCCTTGTAAATATGACAAATACACTGAAGTGAATCCTGGAACTCCAGAATCATCTTAGACAAGAAACCAAGCGGTGGCCGAGTTAGAGTCAAAAGTGTGGCAGGCTGGGAAATGCACTGTCCAGGTCAGTAACTGAAGGACCCAGTTTCCATGCCGTGTGGCGAGGGAGCTGGGCCCTGTGCGCCAGCACCCAGGGGCACAGGGCACGGAGGACTGTCTTACAGGCCCATCGCAGGCCCAGCGGGATGTCTTACTAAGAAGAGCGGAGGCTGGCTGCCGTCTGCAGCCACCTGGAAAGGCGGCCCTTGAGGTCTCTGTCATGCCCACTCGCTCTCCTGCTAAGGAGAGCTCAGAAGCCAAGACCACAGAGAATGATGTTCAAACAGGCTTAAGAGAGAACTGGCCGCTCAAAGAACTTCAGCTAAGAAGTGTGAAAATAGATGAAGCAAATAAACGGAAGGAAAACGGAAAAACAGGTAAAGAACATGTCGGCATTCACCTTCATTAGTCATTCAAAATATTTTCAAATCAAGATTACATTAGCTTACAACCATCTGAGTGCAAAACCCAGAAATCCGCCCTGTACTGCAGATGCAAGCCTACAACATCCGTGACAGGCTGCCACTGGGAGCGTAAGTGGTACAAGCACTAGTGACAACGGTTTGGCATAAAATGACCTGTACCTGCCAATCCCACGTCCAGATTAGCATCGAAAGATAAAGTCTTTCAATCATACACGAGATGCACACAACACTTGTTGGTAGTTCTATTCATGATTAGCAAACTCACAAAGTCACCCAAAACCCAAGAAAATGAAAATATCAGTGGCATTTACACAAGGCCGTGACATACAACAAAGTAAACTTGATACAAATGGGTAAATCTTAAAAACATAGTATTGGGCCCTCCCTGGTGGCGCAGCGGGTTAAAGCACAGCACTGAGAATCTGAAGCCACTTCCGCATGAGTTCGATTCCCGCCTGCCGCCTGCC